AGACCAGTACCCCCAACCTGGCCTCCACTTTCCTCCATTCTCTACTGCCACAGTAGTTTTACCACAGAGCAACTCTGATCACATCACTTTTTGCTCAAAAGCCTTTAGTAGCAAATTTCTCGTTGCCCCCTGCAATTTCTTACCATGTATGGGTAAAGTAAGAAAAAAATGAACAAGAAGGATAGAAAACTTCCAACATGAGCAGATAATGAAACGGTGCTTGGAGGGTAGGGAAGGTAGATTAAAAGGCAGAAGGCCTTCTGTACTTTATGTTAGTCTCCACTCATCCCAGCATGGTATAGATAGGTGTCCTACATTCCTGATATTTGTCACCTGCCTGGACCATGTTCCTCCTAGTCACCCAGTCATTCCCTCTTCCATCTGCATGGCCAACTCAGGGTAGGACTGGAAAGGGGTTCTGGGGAGAGCAGGGAAGCTAGGGACTAGAGAATGGTCAGAAATGTGCACCCAAGGGTCTAGCCTAGTCATTGGAATAAGATCAGTGCCAGGAAAGCAAAGCAGACAATGAAGACCAAGACCCATAGAAATTACAGCTGGGTCCGAGGTCAAGGAGAGTGTGCTAGAGGGCAAAATTATAGGCACTGGGTAATTGCCTGGGATGGAGCAGGGAGTATTGTGGGGGTAAGTATGGAGTCAATAACATTCCATGAAGTAATGAGGTTGGGTAAGACTCACTGCTTAAGGCATCAGGCTTGGCTCTCTCCGGGGAATCTTTACATGAGCAACAGAGCCTCTGATCCCCTCCTTAGTCCTTCGCAGATGAAAATACTGAATGACTGGCATCAGCAAAGCACAGTGAAGAGGGTCAAGCAGGTGGAGTGGTAGCAGAATGCCGGGAGGAGAACTGAATAGCAGGCTGGCCAAGCGTTGCAACTTCTAAGAGCAATCATCGTTCTGGTGGTTTCAACAATTTGAAGAAATGGCAAGAAATCTGCCCCCTTTAGCTGAGTTAGGTCCTAAGGAGTTTCAGTATGGAATGCCCAATATGGATTACGACTGGCTCAGATTGTGTGAGTCAGGGAGAGCTTGTGAAAGACTGTAAAGAGCATGACAAAGCTGTCCTTCTAAAAGGTGCCAAGCTTGGGGAGCTTGAGGTTGGGCAGGGTTAAATGGATGGGGACTGCCCCTCCAAGGGTGGAGTAGGGTGGGTATTTCAGCCACTGAGTATTCATCAACAGCTATTAGCTGAGTCCCTATTATGTGATATCTTACACTGGGTTAGGAAAAATCATGGAGATTTCATGGCCAGTCCCTGGCCTCGAGGAATTCAATTTATTAGGACAGACAGAGCCATAAAGGTGATCTCAGCAGAGTACGGGGCAGGCAGGGAAGCACCAGGTTGGACATCTAACTCTCACCTCGGCATCAGTGAAAACTTCCTGGAGAGAATACTGATAATTTGTTGAACACAGGAAACCATCTGTGTGCCCCAAAGCCAAGCCAGAAAGATCTCAGCACAGAAATTTGGCACGAAAACTCTGTATGGTCCATGGAATCTCAGAAATTTAGGATGTCCTTGACATTTCAGGGAGCAGCGAATCCCCCACATTACAGGCCAGGAGGCCTCAAAGTGGCTAAACCTTTGCAGGTCTCTGGCTGAGTGGCTCTCTCTGGGTGAGGTATCCTTCCATAGGCAGGTGTGGTTAGCTAGAAGTCATGATGGCAGGGCACATGGTTTTCAAGAGTCTGGACTCACAAACACATAGGTCAATAAGCACCCACACCCTCTATCCCCAGAAATTGTAGGGCAGCCAGTGGGTTGAGACCAGAAGTAGATGAAGGTGGGCCCTGGGAAAACACCTTATTGCCTACTCTTCACACCCTGGCACAGCTTCTTTCTAACTTCTTCCTAGCTCCCCACCCTGCCCAAAGGAAGAAAAGTTGCTAGCCTGACGGGTCAGAGTCCAGAATGTCCACTGGGCTGCATTTTATTGGTGAGTGGGGTTACTGTACTTGAATGGCACCCATCCCGAGTTCACTTCTCTCTCTTCAACTTCCTACCTTGTGCCAAGGAAGGTCTTGGTCTTTGGGGCCTTATGGTGCTCATGCTTCCTGCTGGTATGTGGTAAGCATTTCCAGGCCATGCTGCCACCTCAACGTGGGCCTGCCCATGTCTCTGTCTCCCTGAACATGTGGTTGAACGAGTCAGTTAGATTGGGGCTTCCTCACTTTCTGGCACATGTACCTGCATTTACTGCCCCTGGATTTTAGATTCAAGAGGAGGGTTGGGGAAGGATGACTTCAACCATCTCATACAATGATCCCTTCACCAGTTTCTTCATTTGAGTATCAACCATTAACAAGGCTAATAAAAAAAAATGGCATTTTTTATTCTCCTCTTGCTACTCTTCCTTGTATGGGACATTAAGGAGCAGGCTGATTGGCAGGGTAGTATTTTAGCCTTCCTGGCTGTAATACCATTATAATATTTATACTGAAACTTACAACCCCAGCCTTTAATGTTCCCCTGTAAAGGGAAAGCAGAGCTTTCCACTTATGGGCACATTGGACTAGAGCCCAAAGTCCTTGGGATCCTCCCAGGCATATTGGCTCAGCCTCAGGAAACAGCAGTGAGCTTACAGATTGGGCAGCTCAGGGCCTGGGGTGAAAGTTCCAGCCTTGCCCCCAGCTCTCCAGAGGCAGTGGGCTATGCCGGGTGCTCAGCCTCTCCTGGAGCATGACACATTGTGGCATTAGTCTGGTGACATTTTCAGCTGGGAGGCCTGAGCCACCTGGTCCCAGAGAGATGGGTATGTGTAGAAAGGGGAATGAAGGGGTGAGAACCATACAGGTCTTCCTTGGACTGATCTCTGAAGAGATTCTTGCTCCTGGATTAATCCTGGCCCAAAAGGTCATGGTAGCCCAAAAAATGCCCCCCACCCAAGGGTGTCCATGTCTCATCCCTGGAAACTGTGAGTATGTTAAGTTACAGGGCAAAAGGGACTTTGCAGATATAATTAGGGCTATGGATCTTAAAATGGAAAGATTATCCTGGATTATATGGGTGGACTGAATGTAATCACATAAGTCCTCAAAAGAGAAGAAACTTTCCCAGCTGAATGGAGAGATATGGCAAAAGAGAAGTCAGGGAAGATAAGACTTGAACCTCTGATGTTGGCTTTAAAGATGATGGGGGCCATGAGCCAAGGCATGTGGGTGGCTTCTGAAAGCTAAGAACCCCTGGCCAATAGCCATCAAGGAAATGGGGACCTCAGTCCTACAAACTGCATGCAACTGGATTCTGCCAACAACCTGCGTGAGCCTGGAAGTGATCCTACCCCAGAGCCTCCAGCGAAGAGCACAGCCCCGCTGACACCTTGAATTTAGCCTGCTGAGACCTATGTCAAACTCCAGACCTACACACTAGGACATAATCAATGGGTGTTGTGTTAAGCCCCTGTGTAGAAAACTACACAGATGTAGAAAGCTTAGAGATATGACTGAATCAGTCCATGACCCTAGTCTTAGAGTGCCCTTGGCCATCTATACTTTCTTAAAGCACTGGTCGATGGGACTCCCAAAACACAAACTGTGATTCTCACAGGGATGCGCTCTCTGCCAATCTCTTGGGGTTTCAGTTCTAATCAGAGAACTTTGCCTCTTGCTTACGCACAATTATTAGATGATACATGCCCCCTCCTGTGGCAGTCCTGGTCTTGTTCATCTGCTAACAAATGTCTTTCTGAGGGAAGAGACCCCATATTTGACCTGAGGCCTTCCAAGAAGAAAGAGTGGTCTATGGGCAGGGAATAGGTATGTCTAGTGCAGCCCTTTGGCTTTATAGCATATTGTGCCCCAAAAGGACAGAGCTGTGGCAATCAAGGGTAGCATCTTGTCTTTCGGGGTGTGGTTCTAGACCCTGAGGTCAGAAACGTCAGCTCTTCTTCCCGGAGACTGGGTCAAGTAGAATTGTGTTAATTCTGAGCTGTAGGGTTAGTCAAGGACAGGCCTAACCCTTCCTGGGGGCCCCCTGGGGACAGTGCTTGGACACCAGCGATCTAGAAGGTGGTCTTTCTCAGGGAAGACCCAGTGAGCCAGGAGGATATTGTTGTAGCTGGATTTTACCCTAATCCAGCTTTCTGTTTGTCTTAATCATCCACTCTACTTAAAAAAAAGGAGCAGATTCATCTGATGAACATGGGGCCTCCCTCACCCAACTTCTCACCAAAGTGGCCAGCCTCTTCAGAAACCCAAACTCCCCTAGGGAGCAAGAGTGCTGACGATTTAGAAGGGAAATCAGGGCTCTATCCCTTCACCAAATCATTCTGGCAAATGAATAAATCAGAGAATGCAAATCATGATTAGAGTCTAGCCTTTCAACTCAAATCATATAAGAAGATCCAAGTAATAACCAAACCAACAGGGAAAAGAGTCCAGAAGATTTTGCTCATACCATTTTTAAGCAAGTGGTAGCCCCTAATAGAACTGCCCTCAATTAGAGATAAGCAAGCAGGAAAAAACACAGCAGGTAACCTATGCAAAAAAGCACCTACAAAAAAGCCCACAGTAGATAAAAGATGAATGAAGAGAATTCTTCTGAAATTTTACTCTAGGAAACAGAAGAATGGCAAAACCTTGGACTAGTGAGGAGCTGGTGCTCAGCCCTTTCATGCTCGGCTGGTGGTGACACAAATTGATCCAGCCTTTTCAGAGTGCACAAGGATGGAAAGAATGCACATTTTAAACAAGTGCACCTTTGACCCAGCAATCCCACTTCTTGTAATTTTCCTCAAGACAATAATTGCCAACGCATACAATGATCTAAAGACAAGGATTTCATTTCAGTTTTGTTTGCAATAGTGAAAAATGGGTGTTCACTTAAATAATCATGAATAGGGCTAAACCACTGGTTAAAGAAATTGTGGCACATTTATATAGATAATATATAAATGATAATGTAAATCTTTATTTGATGACATGGAAATTTGCCTATGACACATGTAACTAAGTGCAAAAAGGGAGACAACGGAACAGCATGATCCCATTTGTGTAATATTTTAATAGGTGCACAAAGAGAGCTGTCTGGAAGGATGTTCACCCCAACAGTTGTATTTTACTTTATTCTTTGTATATTTCAATATATATAATGAGCATGAATTTTATCAGAATAAATCTCTTTTCAAAACAAAGGAAGAAAAAATGTGGTAGAATTCACTCCATCTACCAGATGTGATGAGATCCAGCGTTGACAAGTGGAAAATGGCAGTTACTGTGGGGAATCATAAAGAATGACATAAGCATATGTTAAACAATCTATTTCAATTTAAAACATGTAGATGAACACCCATCCACTGTTTTTTTGATTTAAGGAAAGACATTTTATTTTTCTGTGTCATAAACCTACAATCTGAGTGCGGGATTCTTCTAGATCTTTCTCCCTAACATTTGTCTATATTTAATTTGATACTGATTTTAAACTTACCTTTATCGAGTCAAGATTCATTCTGTTATTCCTCTTCCTTGCTCACATCTAGATTAAGAACAGAAAAGTTGGAAACTTGCTTTCTCAACTTTCTCTTTAGCATGGGTGGCCATTTAACAAAATTCTGGTCAATGAGGCATTGGCAGTCTACTGAGGGTTTCTGGGATTGTGTTAGCTTTCAGCTTCCATTTTAGCTGTCCAGTCAGTTACCAACATTTTATTCCGTTGTTCCTATTTCTTTACTTCTTATACCACTGGACCTGGGCATTGCTGGCTTTGCCAGACATCACTGTAAATTCTGTGGGACTCCTTCACTCCACTGCATTAATTGGAAACGGGCATTGCATCTGCTGGGCACTGCTGTAGTGTGCATGCATGATTGCTGCTGCTCCTGAACGCTGCCCCCTCTGCCATGTGTTGCTGCCACTACCATCAACACCACTGCCAACATCCCAGACCTCAAGCTGTTAAAGCTGTATAGAGGTCTACAATAAAATGGGGAGAAAGTGAGAAAGTGCTTCTACCCCTTGATACACCACACTCTGTTAAAGGATCGATACCCAAGTGAGGGCTGCTCATACCCTTCTGCATCCCTGAGTATCTAGCAAAAGAGTCCTTTCCTTTTAACTTACACTGTTGCTGTGACCCAAGCCACGGGAGACTGGCTGGGCAGGTGCGAGCGATGGGTACCCAGCTATATTTGGAATTTCTTCTCCTCCCTGAAATCCAAGGCTCTATTAATGAACCAGCTTGGTATACTTGACTCCTGCTGAGTGAATTCTCTCTGAGAAGACTCTTCAACCCGTCATGCTCCTCACAAACTCTCTAGATGTGTTTGGAATTTATTGGTGAGGACACTTACACCCAAGTGGTGCCTCCCATTGCAGGTGTCGGGTGGGGGGAAGGCAGGAGGGAAGCAGGTTAAGATTCCTAGGTGTTTTTACTTTTAAATAAATAAGTCTTATTTTATAACTATAAAATGAATACGTACTTTAATGAAAAAATATAAAATACATAGACAGAAAGACACCATGAAGAAAATGAAACCCACCTATAATCCCACTACTTAGAAATAATCACGAATAATGTCCTGATGGTTTGCACTCCTCCATTGTTTCACACTGTTAAGATCACCCTGTTTATATAATTTTACAGGCTGTTTTTTAATGACTCACCATTTATCATAAGCATTCTCCCTTGACACTAAATATTATTTATGAGCAATCTTTAATGGTTACATATTATCCAGTGGTATACGTAATAGTCAGGAGTCTTTTGATTGAAAGTCACAGAAACCTACTCAAGCAAGTATAAATTTTTCTTTAATGTAAGACGTTTGTAATGAGGATTCAGGGATGTTTCCTGGAAACTAGAGGCACAGATGCAGCCAGACCTCAGGACTAGGTTATGAACAGACACAAGACCTAGAGCATAGGGAAACCAGGAAGCCCCTCCCTTCAACTTGCTATTGTTTCCTTCTGTACTTCTCCTCCAGAGTCCCCTGTTTTTATAGACTGGCTTTTACAGGAACGTGGCCCTTGACTGCTCCTGAGTTTACATATCCAGGAACTCCAGAGAGAAGCTGATCCCCCACAGTTCTAGTTTCAGTTATTTGGGAAGATGCACCGATTGGCCCAGTATTGATCAGGCGCTGACTTTGATCCAATTAACAATGGGAAGAGGGACCAGGGTCATTTGGTAGGAAGCTGGCTCTTCCTATTGAAATGAATGAGAAGGGTGAATAGTGAGAGCTAAAGGGGATTCCAGAATGCTGAGACAGGCAGTCGGTCAGACAACCTGTGTGGATATAGGTTACCCTATAGACAGAGGTTCTATAGCTTACCAAACTGTTTCCTCAGTTGTATTAATCCACACCTGCACGTAGATTCTGAGTTGGGGCTGAGGGGTACATTACCTCATTCCAATCCCCAAGAACATACAGTTTCCAGCTCCTGCCTACCCAAGATACCAACTTACTCTTATAGATGGGTGTTAGTGGATCTGACAGACAGAACTCTTCTAACTTATCAACTCACCTCCAGACCCAGGCAGGAAGATTTCGTGTGCAGCTCTCCCTTCCTGGCAAAGCTTCCATTTGTCCATAACACAAGAAGCCTTCCATTCAGTAGAGTTAATGACTGGTAAAGTTTAACAAAGTAAAGGAAATACATCTTTCCACCACGAATAACCAGTCCGCTGCAGGGGCTAATTGTGTCGGAAATAAGGCTTAGATTTTCAAAGGAGTTGGATGGTTTTATGATCATTAATAACATTCACAGTTATGCATGTGTGGATTTCATATTTCATGGTATAAGCTGGTTTCCTGGAGGGGTCAGAAAGCCTATTTTCTAGAATTACACTAGTGGGTAGGTCCATTGTCAAAGACTTTTACCTTCTTCTGAAGCATTGATTGTTGGCCACTGACTTGATGAAACGATAAGAAATGAAACAACAAAGCCCTATGTATTTATACGTTCTTGGGCTTGTTTCCAAGGTCTCACCAACTTACTATGAACCTTGGGAAAAGCTCTGGCTCGGTGGTCCTAGCTCCAGGCTGGGAGCAGGCAAGGGCAGGTATTGAGGCCAGTGTCTATTGATGCCATTCTGATTTCCACAGATTGACAAGTAAGGGAATTTTCTGCTTCAAACAGGAAGGAATCTTTCCCTGCCCCATCAGTAAGCTCCAGGGGCAAGGACTGGCTCGTGTATCAGTGCCTTTGCTACATGGGAGGCTGGCAAATGCAGCCCTCAGGTTCCCTCTTTGACACCTTCCTGTACTGGAAGGCTGGCTTGGGCAGCAAGAAAATATTTCTGTTGGGTGGGCATCCATGAGTGTCTTCCACCCTACTGTGCACAAAGCCTGATGGTAGGCTTCATGGTGAGATCCCAAACAAGTACAAACTGTGGTTTCTACGTGCAGGGAACTCAGTATCTGTTAAGTGCAATCAAAATAATAGTGCTGACTGTGTTAGAAAAGAAGCAAAAAGATGAAGAGCCCAGTATGTGCTGCAATAGTCTGAACAGACTTTGGGAGGTGGTGGGGGTGTAGCAAGAGCCTGGAATGGATGGTGGGATTTTAAAACTGGAGGGCATTCCAAACTGGGGAAGCACGCATGGGCTAAGACAATGGAGCACGAAGACAAGACTACTGTATACCCAGGGCACCACAGGATGCAGGCAGCTGGCTGGGTGCCAGAGGCTCCCTGGGCCAGCCTGGAAGGAGGCTGTCCTCAGAGAGCAGCTCTAGGCCTCAGGGCCCTGAACAGTGGGGCAGAGAATCTGTATCTCTGAGTGCAGAGGTCTCTCGAGCAAAAAGGTGAGCTGACCAATGGCAGGGCTGTTTTAGGATGATGAATCTCAAAGTATAGTGTAGGGCTAGAGGAGAGAGAGTGCCTTCAAGAGATAGGTTAAGAGTCTGTTGCAGTGATCCAGGTACAAGGGGGGCAAAAATCCCTGTGCCATGTCCTGGAACTGCAAGGCCAGGGTTGCAGATGAGAAATAAGGTTTCTGGTTAGGGTCAGGGGTAGGAAACTTCAAGGGACAGACAGGGCTAACTGGTTATTCAGGAGGTCTGAGCCTGGGAGGAACAGCCTTGAGGAGGAGCCAAGGGAAATCCCAAGATGTATCCTCAACCCTATGATAGTACTATGGGGCCAGAGAAGTGTGTAGCTTGGGAGAGCTGCCATGAAACCCTGGACTTTGGGGACAGCCTCAGGATGGCAGCAGAGGAGACCCCTGCACTGCTCAAAATCCAGTGTTCCTGAGGTAGACTTGCTAGGACACCCCCTTGGAGCGTCTGCGGGCTCAGCCAAAGGAGTGAATCGGGACTGGTTGACCATCAGACCAGGGCAGTGGCCTTGTAATACAAGAGGATAAGAGGTACCTTGAGTCTCTCCCCTCTGGACACATCGTAGGATGGAGTACAGAAACATAGCCTCTCAAAAGGAAACCATCCACCAGGTATCACAGTGGACCCACAACAACCTCTAGGAAAGACGCTTAGTTATAATAAGGGGAAAGGGGAGCCAGAGAGCAGGGGGGCTCTGACAAGCGACCACCCAGAAAATAAGTCTCGCTGCTGCCTTTCCAGCACTTATCCACCAGTGTGGGTGCTGGAAGGTTGAGCCTGTGTTTGCCAGCTCAGACCCCATTCTGCCAAGAGACCCACCGGTCCAGTAGAGTAAGCAACTGGCTTCTCTTTCTTAAATCCCATGTTGCTCTGGATAGGAGTTTCCCCTCTCTCTTGGCATCCTGCCAGGACTTTATGCTGGGGCAGCCAGAACCAGGCCTCCTGGGACCCACAGAGATCATGGGTCACATTAAGGACCACAGCTGTACTGAGAAGTGGTGACCAGCTCCCTGGCCTATGAGCCTTTGGGGCGCCATCCCTTCTCTTGAGGAGTCTGGTTCTTGTCACTGTGCGTGTCCAGAGACTTCTCTTAGGCTCCACGTGGCCTGCCCTTGGCCCAGCATTTGGGAGACAGGGGGCTTAGATACCCCCTTTGGGCACACAGCTCACCATGGCACTCAGAATTCCTGGCTGGGACTTGGCATAATCAATGTATTCATAAGCTTTAATAATAAGACCAGGAAATTGGAGCACACTGGCTTTCAACGCTGGTTACACATTGTAATCACCTGGTACTTTGTGTTTTTAAATTCTGATGCCTAGACCCCTCCCCCAGAGATTCTGATTTTCTTGGTCTAGGATGTACCTGAGCACCAGGATTTTTAAGACCACTGTGCAGCCAAGAATGAGAACACCTGAATTAGAGAGACTGAGAGAAAAGCACTTTATCTACTATGAGTCCAGGTGATTAATCAGGGCAACCATCCTCCATGTGGTGGCCCAGTAACCTGTGCTCCTCCATCTTTTGGCCCTGCCAGCCTAACACAAGGCTGGTGGTGGTTCCCTAAGATCACTGCAGCAGGGAAAGAGAACATTGGAAGGTCTCCCACCATCAATTAAATGCCTCGGTCTAGAAGCGACCCATGCCACTTCCATTGACAACCAGTGACCAGAGATGGTCACACAGCTGTGCCTAACTGATGGGAAGCTCAGAAGGATCATCCTTCTGGTGCCAAAAGAGAGCAGAGCTGGGTCTGGGTGAGCACCAGAAGTACTCCCCCACAGAGGGCCTCTCTAATCACACAGGCACCATGCAGGGGCTCAGTGATCAACGAGTAGAGAAAAATGGGGGTGGGGGACGCCCAGAGAGAGTAAGGAGGAAATAAGAAGACAGAAGCATGGTAGAAATCTATAGAAAGAAATTAGATCCAGAACCCAAAACCAGAAGGCCCCAGGGCACAGCCAGTGGCGTGTGGGAGCCGGCTCACATACTAGTTCATGAGAGTCAATTGCTAAATATTCAGGAGTTTAGCAAACTAGTTAAACACTGATAATTAAAAATTATATAAGCTTAGTGGGGTACCTGGGTGGCTCAGTCGGTTAAGCATCTGACTCTTGATTTTAGCTCAGGGCATGATCTCGTGGTTCATGGGATCGAGCCCTGCATCAGGCTCTGTGCTGATGGCAAGGAGCCTGCTTGGGATTCTCTCTCTCCTCTCTCTCTGCCCCTCTCACCCCACAAATAAATAAATTAACCTTAAAAATATTTTAAAAATTTAAAAATTGCATAAGCTTATAATTAAACTATATTAAAGACAAAGGTCACAAATATTCAAAATACATCACTTCCTAATTCTCGGACTATATTTCACTATTATCTATGTTCTTGGAGTTATTTCCATCTATTACAGAGCATGGCATGCTACTGAACACCTCTTCCCAACTCCATCCAGAGACATGATTTGGCAGTTGGCAGGAGATTTTAGTCCATGGCAGTCAGCAAGTGCTACAAATCAGAGCTTCTGTCCACTAAAGAACTGGTGGTTGAACATTTATCAGCGTGGGTCCAGCCTTCCTTCCCCAGTGCATCTAAACTGGGAGGTTCTGTGAAGCCAGTAAGTGTGCTCTGTCCTCTCCAGAGCAGTGCTGGGGCAAGAAATTTCCATTTGTCACCAGAGACTGGTTGAAAGCAGGGAGTTTAGGGAGTACTGATGGGTGAGCATTTCCATTTGGAGAGCCTATGGGAATGGGCTGCAGGGTCAGCAACCCTAAATGGTAGCATTTTGCAAATACAGACGTTCCCTTCCATGTGTGCAAAGCGTGACCCTCACTCAGAAGCCTAAACCATTGTTTGCTTCCAAGGAACCAAAGGCTGGTGCTGAATAGTAATAATCACCTGCCAGGAGCCTATTGACCAGGAGGACTGCCTGCTGCCTGTAACTCCTGGTAACAGGGAGCCCTTCGAGAGCCATCTCTGTGCTGGCTCCATAATGCAATGGTGGTGTCTTTCTCTCTTGAAGCATTTTTACTGGATCTCTAAGACAGTAGCTGCCGGAATTGAAGCCAGCGCTGGCAACATGAACCACGAGAGGCCCGAGTTTATTTGGCCAACTCAGAATCTAGCTGTATGCACATGGGGCTTGTTTTTATAGCCGCTGTAAAAATTCTCCTTACACTTGCTACTTCACTTTCCCCTGAAGCCCAGGGCCCTCTCTCCTCCCCCTCTGTACCCAGCTCAGCCATTACCGGCCACTTACCCTCCAGTGTTCAGGGCCCCTTTTAAAGCACTATTAGATGTCTGGATGGTTTATGGATCTCTGGGCTTCTGACTCCATGGACCGCATCACTCTAAAAGCTGGACCATCAGACACAGTTGCAGAGGGAAACGTTGGAGGGGGCAGTGCGTGAGTTTAGTCTCTAATGCGTGAATGTATTACACCAAATGGATGGAAATGCTACACTGGCAATTTTTGCTTCTTTATAGGCTTCTGATTTTTAAAAATCAACTAGCATGTTTTTACTTATATTAACTCAGCCTCAGGATCTTCACATTTTGGAATCACTGCTACTCCAGTGGCCAATTAAGCTTGTTCGAACCTCCATCCCACATACCATAGAACATTTACTGCTCTTCCCAGAATTTACGAGGGATCCCAAGACGTTTCACGTTCTCCTGGTTACCTCACATCAAATTCTTGATCCCTCTGAATTCCTGAGACTCCCTTGTCACCACAGTAACCATTTCACATTCTCTTTTATTTTCTAAAACTCTACTGTCAGAATGTTCTACA